CCATTTCGTTGAATGTTATATGTTGAATTGGGAATAGACATCATAGCACTCAGGGCATTCTCATAAGCGCTCCCTCCCCATCTGCAGCAGAAAGCGAAGAGTTTCAATTTCGCTGGCACAAGTAACTGTCTGAGTGTATACCATCTCACCTTTCCCTTGAGCTTTGAGCGTCGGCCATATTCCCTGGTAACTCCTCACAGCGCCATTCTCCTAAGACTTGAATGATCTATTTGTGCCTCGGCACTGTTCACTCGCTCACAAAGGGCCCTCACAACATCAAGCTTGTCATACATCAATTCACATCCATTTGTGCAGAACCGGCAAGTCTATCTGCCTGCTTGTTTTCCAACACATTGGCATGACCTGGGGAAAAAATCCAAAGGATGTTAACTACTCTGGATCTTTAAAGCGATGCTTGCCACTCTGCATGGGTCATGCCTGTCTCAACCTTGGAGAAAAAATCCAAAAGAAGCTAACTACCCGGGACCTCTAAAGCGATGCTTGCCACTCTGCACGGAGCATGCCTGTCTCCACCTTTCTCAACATGCTCCGTGAGTCAGTTAAAATTACGACATATGTGTACAGCTGATTCTCAAGCCAGGAGAAGGCAGTAGTGACTGCCTCCACCTCCATTCTCAAACTAGACGTTGTGATATTACTTGTATATCCCAGGCTAAGCTTATTTAGATAAACCTTCATGCACTTGGTCTGCCCCTCAAAACAAAGCCATCTGTATATATAATCACATCACCTGGGCAGAAATTGGCATGTATCATTTGTTGAAGTTCTGATTCTGAAGCACGAGCTGGCCAGTCCCTGCACTCACGACGCAAAGTGATAAGAACCCTGCACAAGCCTAAAACTGGCTCCGACACTTTGACCCACTTCTGACCTCGCACAATTTATCAAGCCTGCACACATATCTGATTGTGTCTTCAATGTGTGCCATCCAATACCTCCCTCTTTTCAGCCTGTGACCCTTAGCTCTATCTAGGGCTTTATGCAAGAGGTGCTTCTTGACTGCAGCTAGACTAAGACCTGACTTTGCTTGCAGAACTGTGAGCCTGTCTGCAATAGTGGGTAGTGCACGTATATGTCGCACACATACTACCTGGGTATCTCTTTTACATCCCAGAATTACCCGCATGGCTTCATTCTGTATGCGTTCAAGTTATATCAGCTGACTTCTTGATATGGTAAGCATTCCAAGACTATAATCTATTACCTACAGGTCACATGCTGGAACATTGTAGACAGCATTCTTTGTTTCATGTCCATACCTGCCAAAACCTTGAGAGTATTGAGTCTTTTTTTGCATTTCACCGCAACTGCATCCACATGATCCACAAAGGACAGATTTATATCGAAAATGATACCCAGGTACCTCAGTCTGCTTTCTCTTTTGATGTTTCTGTCATTAACTGGTAGTCTTCTGACATAAGCTTTTACAATTCTGTTGTCCCAGAGCACAATAAAACAGCTGACTTTTCTGAGTTAAATACAGCATCCATTACTGCACTTCAGTCAGGTTCTTTGTCTACAGATGCCTGCAGCTCTTGGGCTGTCTGTTTCCTTTAGTTTCCTGCCTATAAGCATGAACATCATCTGCAGTTGTCAGTATCCTTTCAACATGTGGGGATTCAATTTCTGCAAACTTATTTGGAAAACACATTTAAGAACACTGGTGAAATTACAGAACCTTGGGGTAGTGCGGGTAGTCCCTGGGCGATGTTACATGGTTCCGAGGTCCATGTACCCTGGTGAAGGGCAACCATACGTGTAAGCAGGTCAGCTGCTGTCTTGTTCACAAGCCAGGGACAAACCCCCTTCTCCGTGAGTGCAGATATCAAAATATCATTTTTAATTATTGTAGAGATCCTCAAGATCAAGTGCTGCCACTATTGTCTCCTGTTTGTTCCGGAACCCGTCATAAACATGAAAAGCAAAAGTAGGTGCACTTGACTAAATGTCTTTCCTTGGCCGGTAACTACCCATACTTCTTAGCAGAAGCTCTTCCCCTTCCAAAAACATTTGTAGTATAATAGCGATAATCTTCTCTAGCACCCTGCCAAAATTATTTGTGTGTGTGTGTTTGTGTGTGTGATAATCCTGAAATCACTGAGTCTAAAATGATCTTTGCCTAGTTTTGGAAGTGGGATCAGGCAGCTGTATACCCAATACTGGGTCCTGAAGCTGTTCAGATGCTCTGGTTGAAGTGAAAAGCCACCTCACTCAAGTCTTCATCCCTTATGCTCTTTATGTGGCTATGGGGGGCTGCGTGGTCTCAAGGTATGGTGTCTGCCTCAAGTGCTAGAGGTCCCGGGTTCAAGCCCTGGTGAAAGCCGGGAATTTCTTTACGTGGATTTCTAGTAATTTCCCCCTGGTCTCTGGGTAGTAAGACCAGATGCCCGTTTGTATTGTTGCGCACATGAAAAATCCCTTAGCAGTTGGAAATCTAAAAGAGTAGCCTAAAGGCGCTACCAGGGCAAAATTTGAAGTTAAAAATCAAAGTATTTTAGGATCTTCGCCGGTGCAACAGAGTTTGTGCACCGCGCTGAGGTTGTTGGACTCAGGCTTAAGTTAGAAAAAAAAAAAGGAGAGCACTTAGGGCTTACACCGGTGTTCCATGATGTTGATCCGTTGAATGGACAGTATTTGGGCATACCTGACACTATCTGACCCTGGAGCAGTATCTTTTGCTTTTTATTTTTTAAAATATCCTCCAATCTAACTATATCCTAAAAATGATTATTATTTATAGTATTAGATATCTCTAACTGAATTTCTACGTTTCCTATCATTATGATCAGTCTGGGCTAAAAATCTCTCCAAAAATGCTTTCATGCTTTAACGTCTTTCACGTTCTCACAGCTCTGATCTTGCCAGGTTTAGAAATCAAAATTGAGCATGGCATATGGTCACTCCAAGGACATTCCATTTTGTGTCCAGCATTGCTGACTGGGTAACAACACCCACATTTCATCACTAGGTCTTATTGCATTCTAGCTGGCCAACCATAGTTTTTTTTTTTTTATACTTGTATCTATCATAGCTTTTGCTTAATCATTTCCTCGTTTGTTTTCCTTAGTATTGTTTCCATGCTCTATTTGGCACATTGAAATCCCCCACAAATTAAAAGCCAATTACCAGAGATTTCCTCCAACTCTCTGAGACAGCTCCTTTGTGACAATAGAGTCAGCAGCAGTGTAAACATTTATTACATTCCAGGTTATATGTATTGTTTTTTTTTTTTAAACAATACTTGAGAGTAAATTCATTCATTCATTCAGTAGCATGTCCCTCGCGTTTGTTTTGCCATAACAACCCTCCGGAAAACCTTCCTATCCTGAGCAAGCATGTCCTGCGTCTGATATCCCCATCTGGAGATCATCTGCCACATCCTACCAGATCTTCTCCTTGGCTCTCTCTTCCTCTCTTCTTTGTGGCATATACCCCTCCATTATTGTTCTCTCTAGACTTCCATGACGTTTCAAGTGACCAAAATATTTCAATTTTCTTTGTTTTATTGTCTTTACTAGTGAGAGTAAATACACTGCAAAAATGATTAAGTTTAAGCAGTAAATTTGTTAGTAACATATACATTAGTTTTGTAATATTATAGAGACATGATTTAAGCTGCTGTTATTAAATGAAAACTAATCTGAAACTTGTTTAACTCTTTGAGTCCCAAAGAACGCATTAAACGTTTATAGATTCCTGCGTAGAAGCCCAATTAACTTATGATGAGCCGATTTTATGTCTCTCTTTATTACCCCTTGGGTCTGTGATGCTAAACACTGGGACTCAGTGAGTTGAATTAAACCATGAAAGATTTTACTTTGGGTTTCGTCTTTATTGACCTATTAATATTTGCGTTGTGTTATCAGGATAGAATGTACATGATGTATATAGGGTAGGCACAAACTTTAGCAACTTGAACATGTTTGTGTAGCAAAGTAGATAAAATGTATAACAAATTTCTGTACTGAATTTACAATATTCTGTGTCCTTGTCTAAGAAAGAAAATACTTTTTTTAAATGTTCCAAACGAAACCGAAGATTTTATATTTTCATTGTATTTTCTTTAAATTTTACTGTTATTGGAATATTCAGTAAGTGCCAAAAGACAGGAAGGCATATTAGCTTCTTTTTTTCCCCTAATTATCCACATAGGAATGTCTTGAGTGGTACGATCTTGGTTTTTAACTCATCCCAGCTCTTCTCTATCCTTGTATTTTAATATTTATATCATAAGGTCAGTAGCCTCGATGAACACTGGTTTCAGAGGGTCAATATCTACAGTCTTGAAGTGCAGGTTTGGCGTTTTCAGCACCCTTTTACAAGGGCACAACTCTGTCAATATGACACTGACAAATTCAAACATTCTTTGGTACCATGCCAAAGTGTGATTTCGGCGATTTTCATTTAAGTGCATAGTCACTACTGTTAGTTGTCACTTTACAATAAATTAAAGGCACATATGTGAATTCCTAATCAAAACAAATCAACATGAATTAATTACTTTTCACACAACTACCAATCACTAGAGAGATTTCAGTAGCCAAACAGTTTTCTTAAAGCAAGGATACAGAACAATGTATCTTTAGCGTAGTGTTAACATATTATGTTGGTGAAGTCAGTTAGGCCCTAACCTGAAGTATATTGATCATATTTGACTATATTTAAAACATATACATGTAAAAACCCTCTCCAAAACAGATTCAGAATTCAGTAGTCTTCTCTAATAATTGTATTAACTAACCATAGATGTGAGAGTTTCCAGGCTGACCTATTCTACATTGAGTACTGAGAAAGTTTCTTTAAAAAAAAAAGATAAAAAAGGAAAGACTTATATTGATCACATCATACATCGAGTGCTGATTCGTTTAGGAATGTATGGCTGACTGTCTTGAAAAGGATCCTGTAAAGTACTTTCTGTTTATTGTTTAAAATTGAAAAAGAACAAATAATCTGATATATTTTTGATATTTCTTCAACAGACTGTCCAGATTTACAAGATGGTAAAATTGTAATTACCCATAAAACAAAAACAGCCGGAGGAGGTTATACAGCCCAGCTTACCTGTCCCACAGGATTCAGATTCAAGCAAGAGGAATACAGCAACAAAACAACTCTAATTGCTGTTTGTAATGAAGGTGGCAAATGGGACTGGGGCTCATCAAGTTATACTCGGACTCCAGAATGTCAGAGTAAGAGAGATAAATAAACATGTTAATATAATTGTGTAAGATCTGTGCGTGTCAGTCACACTTATCCATTGTTATTTCCATTGATTTCGGCCCTAATTTTTTCAGTTTATCATAACAATAATATCACAAGGGACAATGATACACAGCTTGTAAATAAAATACAGATTTAAATACGATCATTTTACTAAGAGTGTGAAGTTTTAATTTAATTTGTATGTACATCATCTACCACTTCCAAAATCATGCAAGAACCATTAGAAGCTTAGTGATTTTAGAATCATCAGCTTAAAATAAAAATTTGGGAAATTCTTCAAAAAGATAGTCCCTGTCGAGCTGCAAGCATTTTTGGAAAAGGTGAAGCTTTTTCCTAGAGATCTGGGGGAGTTACAAGCCAGGAAATGATACTGGTCAAATGCAGTCATTTTTGCCTTTGACCTTTATATAAGGCTCCAGAACAGACAGGAAATTATGACGTCAGTGCCTGATCTAGAGGATGCGTATAATAGCATTAGATATGAAATTTTTTATGACAGCACAGGTGGAGGTCAGTCCCTGGTTGGTGTATTGGATAGCAGCTGTCCAGTATTCTCGTCGGATTGCTGACTGCCACAGGGATCCATCACCTTGATTGTGCTCTTTAACGTGTATACGAACAAGAATGCAAGCCTAAAAGCACCAGGATATGGAAGGAAACCGACATTTGCAGATGATATACTCACATATAGGCAAGGGAGATAGAAGGAACAAACAGCCCAGGAACTACAGTCGACAAAATGATTGGTGTATAGAAATGAGTGCTGTCGTCCACCCAGAAAAGGCGTCCCCTTTGTATTATTCTCTAGACAAAAGTGGTTGTTAGAGCCGAAGTCCGAAGACTCACGATAGATGGTGAAAACATAAACAGAGAGAGAGAGCAAACGGACGTATCTTTGAATCACTTTTGACTGGGAACCTGTCTTTTAAGGAGGACGTAGAGATAGATGTGACAAGATGCCAACTTAATGTACTTAAGACTATGGCTGCAAAGGACATAAAGCAGAAAATGCTTTTCGCATTATATCAGCACCTGATCCTTGCAGTGACTGATTATGGACTAGGACTGCTCACGGTCTCAAATAGTCATCTTGCTAAACTAGAGCACATTCAAAACGCAGTCATGCAGCATGCAGGTCATTCTAGGATGTACTAGAGACACCCCAGTAGTGTGTATGCAATCCATCTTTGGTTTGCTGACTGTGTAGGTAGGCATAAGGTGCTAAAGGCAAAGTCATAGCTCAGAGTATCTGCAGACACAGATCGCCCTTTGCACCAATCACTTTTTTGCACAGTGCAGGGGGATCTCATAAAACGCCATGCAGTGCTAAGTACTCACATTCATTTGAGATACATATTAATCAGCGTCGGATAAGAGGGAAGTCATTGATGGAACAGTCGGATGACTTGATCAGACAGGTTTGCATCCTTGAGAACATAAAGTGAATAGAGGAAGGGGCAGAGTACCAATGGAACCGTTAGACTTATTTAGAGTCATTATCACATCGAGCGGGGAGCGCAAAAAGTGTCAAGCAGTTAAATCAGGATAATGCTTGCTCGAGTGATGTGATTATCAATTCAGATGGTTCAGTATCAAAAAGCAAAAATGTGCCGGGGGTTCTTAGCAAAAGTTAATTGTCGGCTTTTATGCAGGAGAGCCTAGCATATGATTTATCCAGCTTGTGAATGTAGGTGGAGGCGGTCACTGCAGCTTTCCACTTGCTAGAAACTACAAAACTTACACATCGTGATTGTAACTGACTCAAAAAAACATGCTGAGAAAGGTGAGTAAGGGTGGCATGCTATGCCTTGAAGCGCACTCTCTTGATCTTTTCTCCTTGGCTTACCGGTATTTTGGGAAATGAAGAAACATACTTTCTGGCCCTGCAAAACTTGGTGAAATACTGATGCATGATAAGGAAAATGTGGTTAGGGCCTTATGTGGGGCATGTTTACTGTTTTTAGTAGCAAATTGATCATCATAATCTGGTCTGAGTGAAGCAGTGAAGAGTGACGACGGGATCTGGATGATGGAAACGCAAGACGAACTTATAATCAGACTGCTACTGGCACCATTGGTACTGGAACTATGGACTGGCTGCTGAGGATGGGGATGAAGCACTCATAGGAATGTGGCGGTGACGTTGATTCTTAAATCAGATCAACTGATGTTGATTATGACTGCCGTATGGCAGTTTTGTCGCGCACCTTTACTTACGGAATATTTTCACAAATCCCTCAGGTGCTCTGAGACAGGAGTGTTTTGAATGGTGGCTCTCGTTCGTCTAGAGCCCTAACCCTCGGTTCAAACTTTCCATTCAACCTGTCTCAGGGATGAGGTGACTCGAGCTCTGACTCCACAAGGTTATTATGAACACTTGGGTACCTCTCGGCCAGACGTCCTCATCACTATTTTGCCCCCAGACTGGTAAACAACGTAACACAGTCAAACAAGTAAACAACAGTGAATATGACAAGACTTGAATACCTTTCTGACTATGACAATGAATTCCAATAAGACGAAACTTTTCTAAGAACAAGAAGACTGATGAACTAAAACTTCAATGTAATAAATTCACTATAACAAGGCAGACGAAAGGTAGCACGAAGAATCAAATGAATGTTCAAATCTTTGAAGATCTGACACTAGAGAAAGAGTCTTTCTACATAGACACATCCATTTCCAGGATCATCATGGTCAGGAGGTATGAGACAGATTTTGAAGGCACATCTGGAGTCAAGCCGCTACAAAGTGTTACTCGGACTTATCTGGTAGGATCCTGCAGCTCCTCAGGATGCCCGAAGATGGAAACCTGTCAAGTCTCACTTCTCAGAAGAACTCCGTACACTTAATGATCTCTCTGAGAAAGATCAAGGACAATCACTCCCCAGAGACTGGTGGATATATGGTTCACGGACAGTACAGCATACTGGGTAAAGGCTGTTCAACTCAAGTCAGCTGCTTCCCCGGTGTTGGTTGGTGGAAGATCACGTCAATGCCACGGACGCTTGCTGGATCTTCAGAAATCCCATGATAAATGGAAAGAGAATAAAGAATCTTGTCTTTTTAACGGTCAAGTGGCAACACCAAGGTAATACGTCTGCCTCTTTGACCGGACCATAGAGAAGTGACACATAAAAATACAGTCCCTAACTACAGCAGTTGGTGTAAGAATCCGGCTCACGTCTACGGTGAAAAGGCCAGACAATTTATCTTAAATAGGCCTAGAAAATGTGTCCTAACGTGTAAATCGACACTAAAAGCCTAAAAGAATCAATCTAAGAGTGAATTATAGGGATTTTTCTTATCTGGACTCCCCCACAACAAACGAACTATATAACTACGGTCGGCCTATCGTATATCATAGTTACAATGATGATTTTGGGGGTGTTCAGACTGTGGACCCGTCCAAGGTGGTAGGTGTGTGTATTCTGTCATTCGACAGTTCCCAGAAGTTAAGTTATATTTTTCAGTTTTTCATTTAGAAGTTTTTTTTTTTTTGCAGTTGTCTATTGTGGATTTCCTCCAACAATATCACACGGATTTGTGAGCAGTATTTATAGGAATGTCACATACGGCAGTGTAGCATCCTATCAATGTTATTCTGGGTTTGGACTTGTAGGAAATTCTAATGTCACATGTGATGTTCATGGCAAGTGGTCTGTTCCTCCAGTTTGTGTTGGTGAGTCTTTCTGTTCTGTATTATGTATGATATATAATTTAAATTGAAGGTTTAGCTTAAAAGTAGTAAATACTGTTTAATCAATTGAATCAGTGCATCTGCCTTATAGGCAAGCAAACACCAAACTGCATTGATCAGTAAATAGGATGCACACACAAAACTCATATCCTAGAACAAAGTCTAAGTTAAGAAATGGATGAAACAACCAGAACTTTATGTAGGTGTTTAGAGCATCTGAATGCAAACAAACATCTTATGAAAAAACCTTGCATGATTTCTGTCTACCCTGAACATCTTTGAACTTTGGTCTGAAGGTGGTAAACAGAGACACGTTGGCGCAAAAGTAGTTAAACTAATAATTACAATTTAGTAGAATTAATAAATCAATCTTTCTGTTATAGAAAACAGTAAAAACATTATGTTAACATTGGAAACGCCAAAAAATATTATTGCTGTTTGATACTGAAAGCAATAACTAATGTTAGTTATCAATGAGGCATTTGGGTATATGCGGGTATACTCCATATACCCAACTGGTGAATTTTAGATTATAGATATGAAAATAAAATCATTTCTTAAGACTGAAAATATTTTGAAACATCTCATTTTAAAAAAATACCCACAGTCCCCCCCACCCCCCCCCCCCCCCCCCCCCCCCCCCCCCCCCCCAATCCCCCAACCAAATTCCCACCAGGGCGGTATTAGCAGCATTATGGGTCCCTAGACAAACCATTTTGGTGGGGCCTATAAGACAACCACTAACAGGAATAAAATGTATACTGTCGATAAAATTAAACATTTTTTAATTTTACTGGTACCTCAACAAAATTGGTGTGAATATATATATATATATAATAGAATATATATAAATATAAATTAGGTGGCACAATATGAAATTACTATTACCTTCTTATTATAACACACACTGGTGGCATTTCGTTATGCAAAATTGCTTTATTATTGGCTTGAAGTAAGTGGTCTTTATGATGTTTTTTTCCATGCACATGAGTGAAAGCAAGCTGAAACGAGGTTGCCACATTTTGCAACAAAGCACATCTTTTAATAAGTTTAAGTCTTGAAAAAAATAACATTCTCCTGTGCAGTTGGTTACTATCATTCACATGGACACACTGAATGGAGTTTCAACATTCCCAAAAATATAATTTTAAATTGTTCAAAGTTAATTTTTTGCACAGTGCAGGGGGGACTCATAAAACGCCATGCAGTGCTAAGTACTAACATTCATTTGAGATACATATTAACCAAATGTTCATTTTTTTTTTTTTTTTTTTTTTTTTTTTTTTAGAGAAAATAGGTTTTCATTAAGTGTATAAGCCTCTGCCTGCATTTTTTAAATTTCAGTTTAAAGTTTAGTGTCGAGAGTAAAGTAGAACGTTTCCACCTTGACCTGATTGGTTGTACTGAGAAGTACCTCTTCTGGCAGCTCTGCTGATCCATCGTATCTACTAAGATGCAGAATTCGTTGTGGTTGTCATTTTACCTAATCACTGTAATCTGAATCTGGACACATACTCCTGGCTTTGAAATTATATTCACAACATTAGTTCCTAGTTTCCTGGAGATAGGTTTTCAAAGACTCAAGAATCAGGTAATCAGGTAAACGCCGCTTCAGCTTCATAGCAAACGGGTTATCCTACAGTTGCTCCGTTCATGTGCCAATAGAAACCAAGGAAAATGTCATCAATGTCCCTTACATGCAGCTCACAGTGTCGCGCCATGCATTCAGCTCAGAAGCTGGTCAAAGAAATTAGATTCCAAAAGATTCGTGGCAACAGTGATGTTCACAGTTTCTGACTGGCGGACATTGCTTGTTTTGTTGATTCTTTCTAGCAAGAAATTCCATAGAATTTTGAGAAAGATTGTTTCCAGGTTTCCATTTTTTTTTTTTTTTTGGTCTAGTCCTTTGGTCTCTCTCCTTGTATTCACTAGCTGTTCATTGTCAACTGATAGGGAATACAAAGCATGCTTTATTTTCTCGAAACCCCCATGCAAAGCATGCACAGCATCCAACTGTGCTGGCTGATGAGTCTCTGATAGAGGCTTGACCACAAAATCTTTTCTTAACTCTTAGAGTCCCAAGGAACGTATCATACGTTCACATGTTCCTACCTAGAAGCCCAGTGAATGCACAATGGCCAATTTTATGACTCTCTTTACTACCCCCTGGGCCTCTAATGCTAAACCCCCTGGGACTCAAAGAGTTAAAGATGATGTCAGTGCATTCCACAAGCAAGCAATGAATCCAGATGCTAAATAGAGTCAGAGTTTTACAAACTCTACACAACCCTCTGCAGCTTTCAATTCCACCAAGTTCAGGCTATATCCGTTGGCTTGTGGGTAATATAGATTAGTGAGAATATGACCGGTCTGGAGAATCTTGAACATTTTTCCCATAAATTTTCCTCTGAACTGTGAGCGATTGTCCGCAAATATCTGACTGGGGTATCATAAAAAAAAGCTGATCACATGTGAATCAACCACTCGCTTTGAGTCGAGGTTTGGTAATCCCCCCTCTCCACACTGAAAAAGTATCCAGCAAGGTTAGAATGAGTGAGTTTCAATCATTTCAGTCATGTGTAATAAAATGGATATTCCTAGCATCAAACAGCTCATTAAAATGCTCTATCAAGACCAACAAGCAGCAGTCAGAATAGATGGAGAGACATCAGACTGGTTTGGCATCAAGCAAGGAGTCCGTCAGGGATGTGTGCTGTCACCGTATTTGTTCAACCTGTACGCCGAAAATATAATGAGAAATGTAAGAGATGAAATAAACAAGGAACAATATGATGCCCTAAGCATCGGTGGTCATGAAATACCAGAAATTCGTTATGCTGATGGTACAGTATTACTATCAACATCACAAAATGGTTTAGAAAACTTATTAACCTCACTCCAAAGAAATAGTGGAAATCATAACTTATTTCTTAACATAGCAAAAACAAAGATAATGCATACAAACAAAACTGCCATGGAGAAGGAAATATATGTTAATGAGGAAAGATTGGAAGTGGTGGAAAATTTTGAATATCTTGGGTCACTGGTTACCAACAATGGTGACACAATGAAAGAAATTAAACAGCAACTATCAATTGCTCTTCAAAGACTAAAACAACTGAATAAATTATGGAATTGTACAGATAGAATTACAAAGGTCAGATTTTTAAGAGCATGCATCTTTCCCATTGCAACATACGCCTGTGAGACCTGGACGCTTACTAAACAAGCGGAGCAGCGCATAAATGCATTTGAATATAAATGTTACAGACAGGTTCTAAGAATATCTTGGGTAAAGAAAAGAACAAATGCATCCATACTTCAAGAGCTGAGTATTGAAGAGGGTTGGCTAGTAAAGACAATAAAACAAAGAAAATTGAAATATTTTGGTCACTTGAAACGTCATGGAAGTCTAGAGAGAACAATAATGGAGGGGTATATGCCTGGGAAGAGAGGAAGAGGAAGGCCAAGGAGAAGATGGGTGCAGGATGTGGCAGATGATCTCCAGATGGGTGTATCAGACGCAGGACATCTTGCTCAGGATAGGAAGGTTTTCCGGAGGGTTGTTATGGCAGCGAGGTTCCGCGAAGGACATGCTACTGAATAAATGAATGAATGAGCATCAAACATTGTTTTCATCATCTATTCATATTTGATAACAACGACTAACTGATAATAACTCATTATTAGCTGAAATGTTTAACCATTACAGCAACTGATTTGCTTGATTTTTTGAATAAATTACAATGTATTTTTTGTTGATGACTTCATACTACTAGGTGAATGTGAAAGTCTGAAAGCAAAACTTAGAAAAGTTGATACACCCTAGTGGGGGTTCATTGAAACAAGAGATGTGGCAACCTGCAATCTAAAATTTTATCTCTATAGGTAGGTGGGTAGTTGTACCCCACCAGGACATCACACAAGGGATAAACACCTGGTGACACAAAGTGCCACCATGTGAATAAGGATCACCCGTGAAGAGGTCCCAGGAACCTCTTTAAGCCGTTTATGCCATATCTATGGCTAGGCCATATTTATGGTCCAGTTATATTCAGGGCCCCCGGCAAAAGCCAGGGTGCCTCATCGAAATAACAAAGAAATTGTATCCCACGAGGGGACGACTTCATACCATAATCTTTATACATTAGTGTCTTGGCGATCTCTGAACGCCTCTTTCCTGTCTCCTGGGATACTCATTTAGCTTAATATATGTCACCAGCCACTCTTAGATTGAATATGTTTATTCAAGGACTCTATCTACACTTATTATCAAAAGGCAGCTGTCCCTGTTTCTCATGTGGATCTTGAATGCATAGGGTTTAAACCCATTTCCACTAAAGAATCCATTTATGAGAAACGTCTAGCCACACCCTGTGCCACCCATATACTTCATACCATGTCTTGTGCAGATCATAGTGTGAATTATTTTATGGCTTTTGTTATAATACAGTTACATAGTTTTACAACTCTTCTGCAGTCTTTTCAACAGCTGATGGCTGCCCAGAAATAGGAGATGTTACACATGGAAGCAGTAACACTAGGGATGGTTCTGAAGGCAGCATTGTAACATTCTCCTGTGATCCTGGCTATAGTTTACAAGGGGCAAGAACTATTGTTTGTCTGCCAAACAAAACCTGGTCCCATCCTCAACCAGAATGCAAAGGTATGTTTTCTACAGTCTGTTTCCTTATGTATCATAACATTTGATCTCCGTCTGTTGTTTTGGGATACCTTAAAGATAAATCAAATACTTTTATTCCTTTCAATAGTTATAGTGGTTAGTTTAACTGCTTACTGAGAAGGTAGCCCATGTTGAACGCACAAATGTGATAGAAATTTTTCAGACTAATATGAGTCCAGGATACATCAAGCTTTATAAATAATGGTCCGTTCTTGTTTCCAGAATTTTGTGTGAATTGTCTTGGAAGGAAGGGCAACGAAGAAGGAAGCTGCCTACCCACATTTTATAATTTACGACCTATAATTGTAAAAATCAGACAATGTTCACCCCATAAGCAGAAAAGCTATGTTACTAAATTTACATAATTCTACACCAGCGACATCTAGAAGATAATGCAGTAAAATGTAAAAGCACTTTTTACTCTAGTGGCGCATTGAGTACGTGATGCTAGACTCCAATGTTTATAGAAAAGTAATGTTCACAGAATAATGGGCTCAACATCACGCCAGCTGTCTTTTACTTTCCAGGACTTTTCCCTGTACTCATGTAAGGCTGGGGCGAAGGTAATGTTTGAAAAAAAAAATATGAGGTTCATATTCCATTTTGCAAAACACTGATTTTTATTTATAAATGAATTGTATTGTTTTTCACTTGTTCACTATTGATCCTAGTTTATCTTTGAATGCTGATTCAGCCCTATAACACACACACATAAAAGTGTCACATATTTCATTAATTAGGAATCTTTATTTTTGCACAAGAGATATTTTCACATTTGATTCATCTCTTCTTCAATGACCAGTACAAAGTTTCCCATGCATATGGTGCCATACCAAAAACCCACATTCATAAACTACACACCACCAATAATATCAATAGCAATAACAAAAACATAAAAATTGGCATTGTTTTGTTGTTTCGTTAGGAAAAGGCCATTATTTTATCTAGATAGTTAATTTTCATGTAATTTGCTGTTTGTTGGATAGAATGTGAATTACATGATTCAAGAAGCTATAATGTAAAAGTTACTGTGGAAGATATATTGTTACAAATGTTAAATTACAGTTATTTATTTATGTATCGGCCACAGTATTTTAACCAAAAATAGTTAATTTAAACAGGGTATTTCTTATATTCGAGATATTACCTACATGTCACTTCAATCACTTATAACCATTAACTATTTTTTGGGAAGTTGGGGGCCGGGGGGGGGGGGGGGGGGGGGGGGGGGGGGGGAGGGGGGGGGGGGGGGGGGGGGGGGGGGGGGGGGGGGGGGGGGATGGGGGAAGGGCAAGTTTCAGCAGGTTGGTTTGTTCTTCCGGGTATTTTATCTTCTTGCCATGAAGAGATCATTGACTTTAACATTTTTTTT